AGGAATGCCTGATCCTTGCGCGGAGCAGCTCCACTGACCTCGCGCTGCTCTGGCTGCCAGGACCAGGACTGCGATCCGGCAGCTCGGTGACCTGTGCGGGCAGAGCCAGCGATCCCTCGGGAGCAGTCATGGCGAGGGGGGAGCGTTGGGTGCCCCTGAGGTGGTGGGGCTGGGTCGGGAGTGGGGCGTGCTCCGGGGGATGGTGTTGTATGTGACGAAGTGGAGCGAGGAGCGCCCGCTCCCCGGAGAGGCACAGAGAAGCGCGGGTCCCGAATGTCCCTAGCACCAGGAGACCGAGGACGGGTCGGTGCAGCAGCGTCTCTAAAATGGCACCTCTGGATCTACAGGGGTGAGGAAAACAGCGTTGTGGTTTCCCTCGGTTTCGCTGCTCAGATGCGTGCGTCTGGAATCCTTAAAAAGAAAACAGGAAGGAGAAGTTTGCAGCAAGAGGATTGCAGCAAGAAACTGATTTCAATTTCAGGCCCGAAAAGGCATTTAAGGTTTGGAAAGGAGCAGGGCCACGCTGGTCACGGTGCTCTTGCCGTGCCCCGAGCAGGAGGGGATGCACGCCCCGACAGTCCCTGTCCCCTCAGAGGTGTGCAGGGACAGTCGGGCGGCTTGGGGTAACTCGCGGGGCTCAGGTCTCGATGGCTCCAGAGCAAGAAGCCTGTTGGCCAGCTACGGGGCTGCATGGGAGCCCGCAGCGAAATCTCACCGCTGTCAGAAATACTGGTTTTCACCGTGCCACTGACGCGTGTGATGCAACGTGAGTGCTCTGTGATGTGGCCCCATCTACACGAGTACAATCCAACCATGCAGCAGCACAGTGGAGTCACTCTCTGGATGCAGTTTTGGTAGTACAGGCAGGCTGTAAGGTGTAAACACTAATAACAGCGTACGGGAGTTGTGATGCTTTCTGTTTAGTAGCGAATTTTTCTCTCCGGAGAACCTGGTCTGTAACGCTGTGCCGGCAGCAGCGCGTCAGCGCTGGTGGCTCGGTCCTGCCGGAGCTGGGAGGGCTGGTGGTGGCCAGGCACCCTGCTGCTGGCCGGATTCTGCTCGGCAGGAGGTGAGCATGTGGTCGGGGACACTAAATTTAAATTACTACACCGGGAGTAAGGCAAGTGTTTCTGGGACATCAGTCAGAATTAAGAGCTGCCCAGGTTGTTCCAGTTCTGTCGCTGCATTGCTGAGGTGCCCCAGGCAGGACGCATCTCAGTGCCTGTATGTGCTCGTTATTTAAGTGGAGATTGTTAGTGTCAGCTGAGAAAATGATGTACCACGATAAACATGTTATTTGCATGAACCAATCTAAAAATGGTAACTCTGCGGGGTAAATTTTTTTCCCTTTTGATCCTGAAGGGCAGGAACGCTTCACATCCATGACCCGGCTGTACTACAGGGAGGCGTCCGCCTGCGTTATCATGTTTGATGTCACCAACATCAGCACGTTCAGCAACAGCCAGAAGTGGAAGCAGGATTTGGACAGCAAGCTGATGCTGCCAGATGGGAACCCCGTGCCTTGCCTACTGCTGGCTAACAAAGTGAGCAGCTCGGCGCACCGTGTGTGTTTGTCTGTGTGCACGTGTGTGCACGGGAGTGCAAACTGGAAGGAGGCACCTTTAGCACTAAGCCTTGCCTAGAGTTGTCCCATAGCCTGTGGTCTTTTTAATCCTTTCCTTAACTCTCCTTGCATTTTCATTCTCTAGCAAGGATTCTCCCCCGTAACTAGGACACTGTAGGACTTACTGCGTGGATGGCTCTAAGGAGATGCTAACAGCTGCTCTGTCCTAGGATGCAGTGCCTTGTGCTGTGCTGTCGGAGCTCGAGCTCTGTAGCTCCTGAGTTATAAAGCCTTTTCTTTTTTGGTCTTCAACTTGCAGTAGCCTGGGAAGGTTGTGTAGGACGCTGCAGGTAAAGCTTCTGTTCAGAGCTGCCAGAGGGATGCCTAGGTTTCGTTTGGATGCAGTGTCAAGTTTCACCGCGTAGACTGGTTGCTGTCTTTTAATGATTTATTTTTCTTTCATTTAAAAACTACCTTTATGTTCTTCATATGCCAACGTTGGCTCAGCAGCCCTTTCCAGATTCAGTTTGAGACTTGCCTGGTTTGAGAACCTAAAACTGGAGATGACTCAAAAACGTGATGGGTGGGCAGGAAAGTGGCTTTTCTTCTCTGCTTCTGCACAAACAGTGCTTTCCCCCGATAGCTGTTTTAAGGTAACAGTTTTGCCTGCATTAAGGAAATCTGTGTGACTGTATGCACTGCGGTCAGGCCAATACGAGGTGTTTCGGGACAGGTTTTCTCACTGCCCCTTCGTACATCCCACTGGCATCAGCGTGGCTGCCCCAGCAGCACCACGCCGGTAACGCGTGTCCTTGCTGCTGAGGCCGGGCAAATTTTGGATCGGCGACAATGCTTTCTTGTCCTGTGCCGGACGAACCTCCGTTCCATGCGTGCTTGAGTGAGGTGTGTCAGTATCTCAGATGAGATAAATGTATTGCTGCTTGCAACATCCCGTGAAGAACCTTGCCCCGAGAACTCTCTATCGGCTTGCGATCTGGGAGGTGGGAAGGGCTGAGCTTACCTCCTGCCTGCCCGCCTGCACACAGGCAGCGAACGGCCGAGGGGGAGAATTCCCCTCCCGGCTTAAAAATTAAAAGGCCAAACTTAAAACGACTGATTCTTGTTTTACAGTGCGACCTTTCCCCATGGGCAGTGACAAGAGAAGAAGTGGATCGGTTCGGCAAAGAAAATGGCTTTTCTGGTTGGGTGGAGACATCTGTCAAGGAAAACAAGAATATCCATGAGTCCATGAGGTAGGCGCAGTGACTGGTGATACATCTGAGAGTTAATTCCCTCTTTCAGGCACAGCCGTCTTTGAGGTGAGGGGAGATGCTGTCAGTAAGTAACAAATAGCAGCAATAACACGCAAGTATATCTCCCAAAGGGAAACTGAATTCTGAAAGGTCAGAAGTTTTTCCCTCCTTGGTTAAGCTCTGCCATGCTTTTGGAAACGGAAATTCTTTGAACAATACCAGGGATGTTTTTTCATATGCTGGCCCCTACCAGGAGGATGGGACTTGTTCTGCAAAGATACTAGAAATTCCTTTGCGATGCGCCAGTCCTTTGATGGAGAACTTGGCCTTTTCCGAAAGGTATTAGACTGGGTATTCACACCTGATCTTGAGCTTGGGCAGTTGGTACCTAGGAAGCCTGTTGCTGCGTCCCAGTCCTAACCTGGCCCCAAGCTGAGGTGGTGTTGGTTATCCGGTCACTGCAGAGTCCTCTGATGCTGCCAGGTAATAGCAGCAACGCTGTTGTCAGTGCTATGAGGTTCCTCAACCTGATTGTTTAGTCACTAAAGGTCTGGAGTTTTGTGTCCTTCGAGAATGAACTGCCATTTCTTTTTTGTACTGCTGAAAAACCGGGTGGCCCCATGCTGCTTGTTTTAAAAAAAAAAAAACCAAACAAGCTCACTTATGTTTTTCTTCTAGAGTCCTGATTGAAAAGATGATGTCCTCATCCACTGGTGATGGAAGTTCCTCTGCTGCTGGGAGTGGGGATTATATTAACATAAAGGAGACAACCCCGCCAGGCTGGGCTTGCTGTTAGATGCACTGACCACACCATCTGCCTTGGGTCTAGCAGCAATGTCCTTTTATTATCATCGTCATCATCATTTTTTCCTAAACGGGCTGTCACGGGGGTTTGGGTTGGTTTTTTTACATGATTGTGAACTGTCTTCAGTTTAGTGCATATTTGTTCTCAGCAGAGCATTGCTACAAGGACTTGGAGTGAGGAGTGAGAAGATTCCTCCCTCTTCTGGTGTGGTAGCAACTGGGAGCTCTGCTGCTAGTCATGTAGCACGGTCTGTGTTCAAACACACGGATTAATTTTTTTTTTAAATTTTGAGCACTTCATCTTCTGACGTGTGATGGCCTGTCTCAGGCAGGGCGAAGGATGTTGAAGGTATATTTTTAATATTGTTGCACCTTTTATTCCCCACCGCCTGCACCCACCATACACAGAGGCACCAGTCCAGTGCGTTACAGCGACCCTCACTCGACGCACACAGAGTTCAAGCGGTCTCTCTGGGCCTGTGGACTCCCAGGGTGGGATTACAGCAAAGTCTTTGCTTCATGCTCTGGAACTGCATACCTCTGCTTTCGTGTCCCGGAGAGACCGACACACCCCATCGTTGCCACTAACCGTCCTTAGGAAGTGAAGCCAGATGTGGATTAGCATGGTGTCCCACGTAACCAGACCTGTAAAATTATCAGTGTGAATTTGGGAAATGGTGTAGCACAGCTTAGCACTGAAAGGAAAATTCCTAATTCCTGTTTCGATGGGCTAGCTGCTCGGCCATGCATCTGGCTGTGGTACTTAGCAGCGGAGACCTCAGATTTTTGCCAAGAATTGCCCAGTTGCCTTCTGTTCGTTCCTTCTCGCTCACCCTCTGTCTAGCACAATCTGACGTATTCTGCTCTGCTGCCACTTTATTAGGGCATGGAGAGCTGAAAGAGGAATAGGTTGTAAACTCCTTTGTACGACAGAACAACAGTCCTTTTCACTTTTAGAACACCCTGTATCCGACCATCTCAAATAGCTTTGCAATTGCTGATGAATTGCCTTCCCACAATTATTCTGTAGCGATGAGTGAAGTTGGTGGCAGGGATGGAGCAGGCGAGGCAGCTCTCTGAAAGCCCACCTGCGGCTTTTAGTGGTGCGAGGGGGAAGCAAAGGAGAAGACTTTGCAGGTCAAAAGGAAATGAAGGGAACCGCTCCCCGCTTGCCTTTTGGTGCCTGCTTTCCCTAGCATATCCCCAGGGACTCATTGTTGAGAACGGTTCTTGCCAACAACAACAAAAAATTGGTAAAAGCACGCTAGATAGTTATCTCAGGAGAGTTAATAGGAAACTCAGTCTGTAGGGCTGGAGTTACATCGCGCTGTATGCATTTTATGTAAGCATGCCATGCTATAGAATTGTCTTGCCCATGTTTTAGGTTAGGATTTGAACGAGTGGTCTTCAGTAACGTTTTTCCCTCCTCGAGTAGTTTAATTTTATAGTCAGGACTATAAATTGGTTTGTCCTGTTTTTTACTGCTTTTCTTTGGCAAAGTGTTCCTTCTGTCTGTCTTTTCGTGCTTTATATAATCTGTGGAGGGAGAAGGAGGTAAGAACAGGAACCGTTTGCCTTCACGAAGCGCAAAACATTCTGAGTTTTCATTCATTCTCTGGAGTGGAAAAGTAAACAGTAAGGGCTAAGAAATTTAGAACTAGTGTGGTGTTCTACTGTTTTAACTAAAAGTGAAAATGTCTGGTTTACAGGCGCTTAAATATACCCTTTTCTGCACCATTGAATTCACTGTAGGAACATGTAGAACTGGTTAGCAGCAAAATTGAACTGTCCTAAACAGTGTTTGAAAAAAAAAAAAGACAAAAAAATATTTTTTTTAATCCTGTAAATATTTCTAATTCTTTATAGAACGTGGAGGGAAGGGTCTAATTTTTTTAAAGGATCTGTCATGAAACCATGAAGATTCATGTGTTATTTATTGACGTCTGTATATTTCTCAAAGCATCTCAGCAAAGAGGTCAAGTGTTAGAGGTGTCCTTACAGATGGAGAGACTGAGGCACACAGTGGAGATCTCTGCCCAGGACCAACTAACTGCTCAAGTCAGCAGCAGCTGGGCACTGAAAGGACAATTCCTAATTCCCGTTTCGATGGGCTAGCTGCTAGGCCATGCATCTTGCAGGAAAGCATCTTTGTACCTTTCGCATGTCAGCTTGATACGTGCCAGTGCCTCTTTGGGGTCTGGACCACTTTTTCATAAGTGCCTCTCAGAGACAGAAGCCAACAGAAGATCTTTGAAGGTTTTCTTCTCTTATACATCATTTCTGTTCTGCCCAGTGGTTTCCGGTACCGGTGTGTGCCTTGGGGGTTTTTTTGTCCACGCTGCTTACTGCTTGTTAACATCTTAATAGACAGGGAAGACAAGTGTCAAAAAACAAGCCCACACAACAGAAACAGTCGTTGCTTCAGATCGGTGTAAAAACCCAACCAGACAGGAAAACGATTTTACTGTGCAGATGTGTGTGTTTTTTCAGAGCTTGCACTGCGGCACATAAGGCGCTTAAAAAAGCAAAACAAAACGAAACACACACCCCCCCCTTGGTTTAGTCCTGTAAAACAAACTGAGTCAGAAGCCCCACGTAACCATGCTCTTTGCTGGGCTAGGCAGTGTGGAAAGAACGGTTGCCTGTGAAATTGATTGTGCCCAGCTTGTGCTAGCTGAAATAATTCTGCATTTTTAAAACAACTGAAAGAGAAAAGCCAACTTGAGTGAAGCCATTTCTAAAAAATATTTTAAAGTTAAGTCTCATTCATGCAGACTGATAAAAATTTGAATCTTTCAAATGTGAATCAGAAAAGCCTTGCCTTTATTCTGATGAACTGTGCTTCACTGGTGTCTTCATCAGGAATGACCTGTTTTGAAAACGAAGGCGTTTGATTTTCTCTTCTGCACTGCCTACTTTGACTTTGTACTCTTTGTGTGCCTCCGGGCCAACTGTACCTGTTTCCCTCCCTTCTAGAATGTTTCTCTTTCCTGTAACTTTAATTGGTGGTCATGGGACTCAAAAACACGGTGTATTTTGTATGTTGATGAGAGCATATTATGTGTCCACATAGCTGCAAATTGTTACTGCAATAGAATTTGAAAGCACGAGGGCAGACTATAGTTTAGAAATAAGTGAACAATATCAAAATTTCCTCTTTTTTTTAACTGCTTGCAGTTACGCAGAAGTATTTTAGAGACAGGGTTCTGATTACTGTAACGTTGCAGTATTATCACGTTTATATAAAGAGAAGAAACTGCTGGGAGTTTTCTCCATATCAATCAGTAACTAACGCAGTATTGCAAAAGTTTGAAATAAAAATTTGACATTGCTCATGTAGTAGTAGTTGTTGTTTTCCTGTCTCAACGGTCCTAACAAATGGGTTCACAAGTTCAAACTAGGAACAGTCTTGCTGTCAATAACAGAGTTATGTATAAAGCGTACCCTGTGAGCTGCCCTGCGTTGCCAGCAAAACAATTTAGATCCTTTTCACTGAAATGTCTTGCTCTCTCAGTTACTGCGGTCTGATTGACCCCAAGTGGGATGTAAGCATGCAAAACTTTCACATCTGTGAGTCAGTCATAGTGGCTTTTAATCCAATATATCCAGCTAAGAGGAGAAAAGAATTCCTTGATGGTTTTTTTTTTGTTGTTAATACACCTTCCTCCTTATGGCTCATTAATTCACACAGTGTATTTTGGGGCTGGCTATGCAGGCAGGCAGTTGTTCTGAATGCCTCTCCTTCTTTCCTGATCAGCTTGATTTTCCTGAGTATTGACTTGCACGAGCGACAGGGCGCATCTGAATTGATCAGAAAAATGGCAGTAATTCCAAAGGAGACAAATTAAGCTCAAGCAGGCATTAAATGAACACAAAGTACTGCTATAATTAGGTAAACATTGGACTATATTTGTATTGTCAAACCAGTCTCCTCAGATAACCCAACGTATTAAAAAAAAAAGTTTTAAAGTACTGTTTTCAATAAAATGGAGGAATTAGTCTGTCTAAAGGTTCACGTGCAAAGCAAAAGTGACTTGCTATTGCAGAAGCTGCCATTTTAATGGACTGTGCAATACATTTTATTTTTCCATGGCAAAAGCAGCTCCTTTATTCTAAAAAAAATTAGTAATTTTGGGTTTGTAGCAAATTTGAAGAACCCAAAACGTTCCCTGGACTTTGCATAAGTTGTGCATGTTCTTGATATCTGCTGTCTAGTACAGGGAAAAGTGATGGTGGTAATGAAATCGGTACTGATAATAAAATCTACACCTGCTGAAATTTATTTTCAGCATTTCTTCGTAAGAAAAACGTTTCACACCGAATCTAGGGCTGATCCGTGTAACAAAAGAAAGTGATGTGCTGTAAAAATACGAAAGAATAGAGATTTATTACAAATCCCATGGCGCAACATAATTAATCTGGTATGGGGGCTCACTTCAGAGCATAGAAGTGCTCTCTTGAGTCGAGGTATTTGGAGTATGAGTGAGTGATGCAGTGAAGGCAGTGGCATTTCATGATGTCCGTGTGTCTCCGGAACCGCTCCAGGTGTTTGTGTTTCTGGCCGGTCCCGAGGCTTTACCCGTTTGTGTATTGCTCCCCGGTAGACACCTCTGAAGTCTCGCCGTGAATGGCGGCCCGTTTACATGACAAAGGGGCCGCGACAGGAGGCGCAGCGCTGGAATCGCCCTCTCGGGCCCTAACCTCCCTTCCTAAGCCGTGATAAGCACGGCGCACCTCGAGGGCACGGCAGGCCCACAGAGGCCCACGGCCAGACCCCAGCCCCGCGGGGCAGTGCCGGCCCGGGGCATGCTCTGGAGAAGGGGAGCAGTGAGGTGGGGCCGGGGCAGCGCTGCCCTCGGCGGCGGGTG